ATTTTTAAAAACATTTTGACATATATTAAGTCAAATTTGTATTTTGAACATTGTAACACAAACATGAAACACAAAACATCAAATGTTAACATTGATCATCTAACCTGACTCAGATTTATATGCTGAGTATTTTATATCTTATAGAAAGAACTTTCAAGGTTCTGTCAATGCTTATAGTATATGCTATTATTCCTTACCAAAATCTTCAAGTAATTTAAAAGATCAGTATCAAAAGTAGTTATTTCTTTTCTTGGATATTCTAAAATTTGTCAGTATGGATTAGCATTCGAGACTAAACAGAATACCCAAGAATATGCTTTAACACCATTAGGATCATTTCATGCAGGAAAACCTTTAACTTTTAGATATTTAAAAATAAAATACTCTAAGCTACACTAAAAAAAAAGTTGAACTAGAAATAGGCAGGGTGTTGGTTACAAAGGCTGAGGATGGGAGAGGCAGGGAGCTAGGGAAGGAGGAGGAGTGGGTCAAAGTGTCAGATAGGAGGCATCACAGAGCAGTGTGACCATGAATCCCATCCTGTGCAGTTCAAAGTCATTGAGAGGCCTTTTCACATGTGTCTCTGTATGTTAAGCAGAAAGAGAACCCAGGACTCCATGCATCCTGACATCATGATGTGTGGGATGGGCACAGTGTGACAGAAACACCTCTAGAATAGAGCTAGGCAGAAAGTTGATGCTGCTGTGAACACCTAACCCAGAGCACTCAGTCTTAAGAATGAGGAAGAGCAAATGCACATGGACAAGAGGACATCCAGCTCCAGACTGCCTGGAGATGTGCAGCCCAAGCCTCCAACTGGTCTAAAAATAAGACACTCTTTCCCTTCACACATCTGCTCTGTACTTATAAATTTCTGTTTCTCATGAGTATTATAATAAATTGATTTTCCTTGATGATGATCTCTCAGGTCTTCCAATGTCTTGTACTCAATCGATGCAGTAATAGAAATTATCCAAAAGCCTAAGGGAAAAGTAATTTCAGAGATAATCTAGGTTACCCCAGCAGCAGCTAATGATTAAAAGGGCTTCTGTATAGGCAAGGCTCTGAGCGCCTTCACAGCAGAAATGCAGACCCAGTATTCAGTAACCCTGGAACACTGGTGTCACCAGGCTACCATTTTTAGAAGAACTATCAGGAATGTTAGGTGTCAGTGTTCTGTCCTAATTCTACCAGAAATCTTCACTCTTATGATAATGTCCTGTGACCACCTTGTGTTGGGTATTGTCTCCGGAACTCTACTGCATTATACAAGGAGTTTGCTTTTTACATGGAGACATATCTCCTTTTCAGAGCCAGTATAAGACTCTGAGGGATGCTAATGAGTGAGCCAAATGTCTTGGGTCAGAAGGCCAGACACCTGGGATCATCACAGAGGTCCTACTGTCATTACAACAAATGCACCCACCTGTGGAACAGACTAGGCGCTCCCACCAAGGCAGAATATTTGACAAGGACCATAACATACAATAAATTTCTCATGTATGTCCTGGTTGCCCTGAAGCAAAGAGAAAGCTGGTTTTATAACAATGTCCTTCTCTCAAACCCCTTATGCTGAGTCAATAAATGGATTAATCCATTCATGAGGACAGGGTCCTGAAGTCCCAGTCATCTAAGAAAAGCCCCACCTCTGATTTTGCTGCACTGAGTGCCAAGCCCTCAACACATAAATGTTTGAGGGCATTTGCCATCTGCACAACAACACAGAATCCCTGCCTTCAAAGGTTCAGATCCATCTCATAATGGAAAATGTTCACATAGTCAAAATTATTACTCATTTATTCACATGTGCATACATTGTTTGGGTCATTTCTCCCTCCTGCCCCAACCCCCACTCTCTTCCCCCCTTCCCCTCACATAGTCTTAACAGCTCCAGAGTTAGTCAAAAGTCCAGTCTCCTCTGAGACTCAACACCAACTCTTAGCTGTCAAACCCCTAGAAAACCAAAAAGAAATTTACATATTTCAGGTATAATGGTTCAAGTGTTAATGTTTTCATTCCAAAGGGGAGGAACAGAAAAATATAAGGAGAAATCAGACGAAAACAAGACCAAAACCAAGCATGGCAAACAATAAGCCCTAAAGCATCAGGTCCAGCATCCAGACACCTGGTGCTGTGATCTGAGCTCCAAAGATCTCTCAATGGCTATTTGCGGAGACAGTAAACTGCTTGACCTCCCAGGCTTTGTTAAAATCTTGATGGAAGCCTCTATGACCCCATATGTCTTGCATTCTGCAGACCTAAAAACAAGCATCATGTGGAGGATGCCAAAATTGGCCACCTCCTTGTACTGTACAGCCTGGGCCCACTTGAGCCTCAGCTTCAACAGCCTCTGAGTACATAGATGGTTGACCATGAGGAAATGAATGTCAGGGAGATAATTCCCCAGGTGGCCGGGAAAGCAGAGAACCTCAAGTCTCTTCTCACACAAAAGTTTCTGAAATAGATCAGGGTTTGTGGCTCAAACTTGCAATCCTAGGCACTTGGGAAGCTAGGTTCAGGAGGATCAAGGTTTGAGGCTAGGTGGGGCAAATAGTTCTCAAGACACCAACTCCAATATGAGCAGAGCAAAAGGACTAGAGGTATGGCTCAAGTTGTAAAGCCAGGAAACCCTAAGTTCAAACCGCAGTCCCACCTTCTTCCCCTCAAAAGAAACAAGTCTCTGAAAGGAGTTTACAGTTTCACATCCTGGAGATGTGCTGCATGGGTTTTTGCTGATTCATGAGAAGCCTTCAAACTATCTTTCCAAAATCCTGGCACAAATAATTGTCTCACTCTTAAAAACACTCATCTCTGTTGAAAACACCCTTTGACTGCAAATTTACATATGCTTCTTTCCTGAACAAAAGGCAAGTTTTCAAAACCTTTGCCCGATTCTTGCTCTCAATTCTCATGAAAGTGTGGCTAAGAGAAGTCATCCATATCCATGCCATGCCCTGAGTGCTATGCTGCCTTCAACTGTCCTCCATCGGATGAACTAGTCCAAATCTTACAAACTGAGCCTCATACAAATATCAGGGAATATACAAAATATACAAGTTCTTTGCCAGATTGTCATTCTCGAGGACTCACTCCTAAGAGTCCTGGTTCCCATCTAAACCTTGTAGCAGAGCTTTCTGTCTGCTTTCCTATCAGTAATCTGGCTTTCAGGGTCCTGACCAGAATTGCCCATTATGGTCCATTTACACTGTTGTAAGGCTTCTCTGACCCACATCTCCAACCCTTTCCTAACTCCTTCTCCAAACCAATTCTATAAGTTCTGAACCACATTATCAAGTACAGTCACACAAATGACCCAATCTTCCTGTGCCAACTCTCTGTGACACTTAGCTCTCCATACTGTGACAATATACCCAACATCATCAACTTTTAAGGAGGGAAGATGATTTGGGGTCACCATTTCAGAGGCTTAAGTCCATGGTCCGCTGGGTGTATGGATTTTCAACCTGTGGTGAGGAAGAACATTATGGCAGAGAGCATGTAGTAGAACAAACTTCTCACCTCATAGCATCTGAAAAGCAGAGAGCTTACTTTTAAAACCAAGCTCCTTCCTCAATATCCTTTATGCCATCCTCCATAAAATGAACAGTTGGTTTCTCTCCAGAGAACATGGCAGTCCAGAAGGCAGTGGAACAACACATTTAAAATGCTCTGAAAGAGAAAAACAAAACATCCTTAAAGGATGAAGGAGAAACTGAGGCATTCACAGATAAACAAGAAGGAAGGGACTTTGTTAGCAGTAGATGGGCCTTGTAAGAAATGCTAAAGGGAGTCCTACAGACTGGATGAAAATACATAGACAGTATCTCAAAGCCAAATGAAGAACAATGGTAGAGGCAACTAATAAGGTATCGGAAAGGCCAGTACTATTGTACTTTGACTTTATCACTCTTCTCTTTATGTATGATTTTAAAGTTAAATTTATCAAATGAGTGACAAATCCATGTTAAGTGGAACACAATAATATACAGATGTAACCTGTGATGTAGAATATATAAAGGGAAGGAACGGAGCTGTGTAAGAGCAGAGTATTTTCATACCACTGAAACTAAATTAATATTATTCCAACTAAGTTGCAATGCACTTAATATATTCATTTTAATCCCAAAGATAAGCAATGAAAACAAATAACTGAAAGGCAAAAAGAAGAGGAAAGAAAATGGAATCAAAATAGTACAGCACAAAAACTCAACTGAAAGGGCTGTGGTATAACTCAAAGGTACAGTCCTTGTTTAGACTGCATGAGGTCCTAGGGTAAAATCCCCAGCACTGAAAAATCAACTACATCCATAAAAAAGGTGATGCAGAAATTAAAAGAAGCAAACATATAAGAATACAGAAGCTGAAAGTTGGTGGTTCCCATCTGTCATCCTAGCTACTTGGAGACTGACATAGGGAGGATCACAGTTTGAGGCCAGCCCAGGCAAATAATTCATGACACTCCATCTCCAAAATAACCAGAGTAAAATGATTGGAGGTGTGTCTCAAGTGGTAGAGTGCCTGCCTGAGTGCAAAGGCCTGGGGGGGGGGGGCGGGGAGAGGGAAGAGGAAGAGGAGGAGAATGAGGGGGAGGAGGGGAGGGAGGGGGAGGAGGGGAGGGAGGAGAAGGAGGAGGGAGGTGGGGAGGAGAAAAGAAGACATACACATACAGAGCACAAATAGGTAAAAGGCAAGGATCAGACCTTCCCTCTCAGGAATTCCTATAAATATAAATGGGTTAAATGGTCCAGTTAAAAGGCAGAGACTGACAGAATGGATTTGAAAACAATGCCTTATATAGGCTGCATTCAGCGAGACTCACTTTGGATACAAAGACTGAAAGATGAAACATTTGTTCCTTTAAAATAGTGTATTTCAGTGATGAGTATATTATCAGGCAAAATAGATTTTACATCAAAAAGGTAGCAAGAGGGAACTTCCACTCATGCATGAGGCAAGCAGTGCCAGAGACAGAGCAGAGACCAAAGTTGGGATCTGACAAGATGGCCGGGCTACCCTGCAGGATCATCAAGGAAACCCAGCGTTTGCTGGCAGAACCAGTACCTGGTATTAAAGCAGAACCAGATGAGAGCAACGCCCACTATTTTCAGGTGGTCATTGCTGGTCCCCAAGATTCCCTGTTTGAGGGAGGGACTTTTAAACTTGAACTATTCCTCCCAGAAGAATACCCAATGGCAGCACCTAAAGTACGTTTCATGACCAAAACTTATCATCCTAATGTAGACAAGTTGGGAAGAATATGTTTAGATATTTTCAAAGATAAGTGGTCCCCAGCACTGCAGATCCGCACAGTTCTGCTATGGATCCAGGCTTTGTTAAGTGCTCCTAATCCAGATGATCCATTAGCAAATGATGTAGCGGAGCAGTGGAAGACCAACGAAGCCCAAGCCACAGAAACAGCTAGAGCATGGACTAGGCTGTATACCATGAATAATATTTAAGTCAGTCCGATCATCAAGTGTGCATCACTTCTCCTGTTCTGCCAAGACTTCTTCCCTTTTGTTTGCATTTAATGGACACAGTCTTAGAAACATACAGAATAAAAGCCCAGACATCTTCAGTCCTTTGGTGATTAAATGCATATTAGCAAATCTGTCTTGTCCTGATTTACTGTTGTAAAGCATGAGCAGAGGCTAGAAGTGTCATCTGGATTGTTGTGAAATGTTTAAAAGCAGCAGGTCTCTGCTTTTATTCATTTCCCCCCATCATGGTTTAAGTATAAAGCACTGTGAAAGAAGGTAGTTGTCAGGGTTAGCTGCAGGGGTATGGGTGTTTTTATTTTATTTTTTAAAGGGGGAAAGTAGTTTTATTTTAGTTTTATGGGCTCCTTCCCCCCCCCTTTTTATGGGGATCTAATTGTATTGGTTAAAAGCAGCTAACCAGTTCTTTAGAATATGCTCTCTAGCCAAGTCTAACTTTATTTAGATACCGTAGATGGACAAGCTTGATTGTTTGAACCAAAATGGGAACATTAAACAAACACCACAGCCCTCACTAATAACATTGTGACTTTGCTGTCAAGTGTAGATTCCTCCCTTCAAAAAAAACTTGTGAGAATTTTGTATGGCTTGTCTGGAAAATTCTGTAAATCTTACGTTTTAGTAAAATATTTTTTGTTATTCTAAAAAAAAAAAGGTAGCAAGAAAACATCAGTATATATTGATAAAAGTCTCAATTCACCAAGATACAACTTTAATTATAATATCCTCAAATATATGAATACCCCTGAAATATATGAAGCAAAACTCTATGTAATAAAGACTTTAACACATCATATCCAACATCCATGGGGAAACAGAGAACTTGACTGACCCTATAAACCAATCAGGCCTAGCAGACTGTACAGAACACTGAAATTAACCACAGCAGAATACACATTCTTTTCAAGTGCTCACAGAACATCGCTAGGACAGATCATGTGTTAGGCAACAAGCTGTAATACATGTAAAATGACTGAAATCATACAGGGTACTTTTTTCAATTGTTCCCAGAGCCACTTAGCCTGTTGGAGAAGGTTGTTTGTACATTTCTCTACAATACCTGAAGTATTTATATGTGTAACAGGAAGTACTGGAAACGTACATACTCCTCCCTATTCAGCCAAAAGAAAATCTAAGGCTAGGTGGTAATCCATGAGTTCAAGAAAAACCCATTTTTTAAGTCCAAAACTAAAACACCACCTTTAAGTAACACAGGATACGTCTGGAGCAAGTAGAAATACTCACTTTCTATTTAAGTAGAAAGCCCTGGACAAAAATACGACTTTGTGCTTAGAAGGACTTTAATGCCAGGTAGAGACACATGCCTAAGAACCACTCCCTTAAACCTCTTGGCCTTGATTAATTTTTTGAGCGATCTGGCAGGAGTGACTCCATTTGAACTTTGACGGCATTCCTCCTCTGTCTCCAAACTGTTTGTCTCTGAGCAGTCTCCTCAGAAGATTTTTCTGATTGTCATTTTGATCCATTTTTGAGAGGATTAGCTTTTTTTTTTTGTAAGTGTCCCATGTGTGGGGGGGAGCAACAAGCAGGTCAGGTGGGAGTCAATGTCAGCTAGACCCTTTTGGCCAAATTTAAGCAACACAGAGGCTAAGAATGAGTTGCTCTTATACAGTGGGCTTCTAGATAATGACAATACAAAACAAATCTAGCAAAAGCAGACATCCAAGAAGCTAACCTGGTTGACACATATGTACTTATGCATCATGCTTAAGCTTATGGCAGCTTTCTTTTTTTGCTCCAGATCAAACTGAACAATGTATATAACATAGTCTGTAAAGTACTTTAAGAAAGCATTTATATTTACATGATAGCTTCAATGGACAAAATTGTGTATATGCGTCATCTTGAAGTATTACGTCACATTGAAAACAAAACCATATAGATAACTATGAATGCTATGAAGAAGAGGTTATTTCTAATTTTGTACTAAAAATGAACTGGATGAACTAAATCCATGACAGCACAGGGTAGCAGCAGTTCTAAGTCTTATTCTCCCTGTTTAGATATTTAAGTGCTGCTGCACCCAACCAGCAAAATCTTCAGGTTTTTAGCTAAGCTTTATTTCCTAGAACAGACGGTTAACATTCAAAATTCCTTTTTATTCACAAAATGGAAGTACTGGTTTTCCTTGTGGATGAATATCCACATTTGTAAGTGCTCACTTGTATTTCAGGTTTGCACAAGGTGTGAATAACTGAAGAAAATAACTTGCTGGCTCCACAGGAAAATGCTGTGAAGTATGTGTACATACTTCGGGAAGATTAATCATTTCTTCTGTTAAGCACCATCAGCATAGAGCAATTCCTGGTTCTGTTCAAAATACAGTCTGTTGTGGTCCATTTTCAATGTAAGGCATTTAACCCTGAGTGGACAATTACTGACCACTTGCTTGCTTATCACTAAAAAACAAACAAACAACAAAAAAACACCTCCCGTCACTGGCTTAAAACAACTTAACACTTCCCACTAATGTATAACAACTATCTTTTTGAGTTACTAAATTCATGCAAATGCATCCATCTGACCATTTTTCTCCATCAAGTATTCAGCTGAAACCCTTTTTGTACCAAAGCATGGTGTAAACAAAGGGAAGGTAAAGGGTATTTGGACCATGGGAATGTTGCTACTGAAATGGAAGAAGTGATGGCTTGGAAAGTTCTAGGTCAGTTTAGGGATCCTGGGAGGCACTTCAGGCTTAAGGAGTAAGTGGCTTAGAATAGACAAAAAATAGAATTTTGATTGTGCTGTCTTTTACCACTAAACTTCAAAGTATTTTGGTTTTTCTTTTTTTTTTTTGGTGGAATGCGGATTTGAACTCAGGGCTCTGGGCTTGCAAAAAAGGTGTCTTAGCACAAGTGATAAGAGAACAATTGAAAACCATAGAGAAAAAATGAGCCAGTCACTAAAGATGACACCTGTACTTCTGATTCCTTGAAGGCTGATTGGGAGAGGATTGAGGTTCAAGGCCAAATAGGTCTTGAAACCCGTTTCCAAAATAACCAGAATAAAATGGACTGAAAGTGTGGCTCAAGGGGTAGAGTGCCTGCTTAGCAAGTGTGGAGCCCTGAGTTCAAATCCATCTCAACCAAAAAACAAAGATATAAACGTTATAGCTTACAAAAAAATTCACTCAAAATATTCCACAAACTTAAAATTAAAAACTGTAACAATGCTAGGAAAGCATAAAAAATTCAATGTGACCTGGTGTTTGGTTGATGAGTTTTAGATTGAACAGTAAATTCAATCCACAAAAGAAAAACATTGATAACTATATCAATAATACAGTTTTTTCCCCTGGCAGTACTAGGGTTTGAACTTAGGGTCTCATGATTATTAGGAAGGTGCTCTAATGCTTGAATCACTTCTCAAGCCCAAGACAATCTTAAGAGAACAAAAAGTCAAGTCATAGGCAGAGAGAAATTATTTAGGAAAATTACTTGTATCCAAAGCATAGTAAGACACTCAAAGGTAAGCTTGGGGGTGTACATGTATAATCCCAGCACTAGGGAGGCTAAGGCAGTAGGATTGCCAAGTCTGAGGCCAGTCTATATTACACAATGCTATAATGTCTCAAAAGAAAAAAAGGAAAAGAAACTCTAAAAGTTAAATGGAGTAAAACCACCAATTTAAAACAAGTATAGATCTCAACAGATACCTTATCCAAGATACACATGAACCAGGCCCAGTGGCTCACTCTGTAATCCGAGCTACTCAGAAGGCAGAGAATGGAAGAATCAATTCTGATTTGATGCCAGCCTGGACCAAAAGTTATCAGGAACCCATCTCAACAAATAAGCCAGGCATGGTGGCACACACCTGCACTCCCAGAGCTACATGGGCAGCCATAGGTAGGAGGATTGCCAGTCTGAGGTCAGCCCAAGACAAAAATGTGAGACCCTTCCTAAAAAGTAACTAAAAGGGCTGGAGGAGTGGCAAGTGGTACAGCACCTGCCCAGCAAGCATGAGGTTTGAGTACAAATCCCAGAACCACCAAAAAATAAAGATATATAAAGGGCACATAAGCATACAAATGATGCTTAACACTTCATGAGGGAAATGCAAATTAAAGTCATGACTAGTGGAGAGTCTGTACCTCAACCTTCAGCTGCGTGCACCATTTCTCACCACAATGGCCAATATGTTAACAGATGACTGAGTAACCAAACTGGGATATAAGTCGGCAGTGGAATGCAAGTCAGCGAGGGGGTGTATGGCCACCACAGCAAAGAGAGCTTACGGGAGATAAGAGGCATTATTTCTGAGTAAAAGGAGCCAGTCTGAGGAAGATGCAGACTGTGTGACCCCACTGAATGAGATTGTGGAAAAGGGAAACTATCAAGAGCAAACAGATCTGTGATGAAAATAATGTATAGAGGGCAGGGAGTGAGCTGAACAGGAAACAGTGATGCAAGATGTGTAATGGACCACATCCCAGTGGTTTCAATAAAAAAAAAAAATTGTCATCAATTGTACCAGGCCTGGTGGTACATGTATGCCTGTGATCCCAGTTTCCAGGTTGGTAGAGATGGATCTCAGTTCAAGGTCAGCCCAGACAAAAAAAGCAAAACTGTCAGTAAAACTCCCATCTCAAAAAACCAGACAGGAGCAGTGGAATGGCTCAAGCAGTAGAGCACTGGCCTAGCAACAAGTGTGTTACTGAGTTCAAACCCCAGAGACACACACATGCAAAAAAAAAACAAACCAAACAAAAAACAATATGGAGGCACACATGGTAGTACATGCCTTCCTGTAACCCCAGTGATGAGGAAAGAAGAGATAGAAAGATCACAGTCCAATGCCAACCCTGCCCAAAAACACAAGACCCAATATAAAAAACTAAACTAAAGTAGCAGGCATAGGACCTAACAGTATGTACTGAAAGCTGTTGAATAATGGGGGGCAAGAGGGAAGGGTAAGGAGAGAAACAGAGGGGAATGAAC